CAAAGAGATGGATGCTCACCGTCCCGTGTCCTCTCCGCTAGGCTTCTCATCAGAGTCTTTGTCTTCCTCTTCTTCCTTGCGCTGCCTCAGATGTTTGTGCCGTTTCCGTTGCTTGCCCTCAGGACCTTGTGAGGGGTGATGACGCTTTGAGCTCCGGGCTGCTTTACCGGTTTCTTCATCATCACTGTCTTCCAACAGGGTGTATGAACGATTCTTTTGCTGCAAGGCTAAGGCCTGTTGCTCAGCTAATCTGGCTGGACGCTCCTGTGGCATCTGGTGTGGAACCTACCAACCATTAGAGAAAGTGAACAAATCAGTTAGAACTCCAAAACATTGTAATTTCTATACATATATCCAGAGAATATAGCTCTCATTCCTTAACACCAGCCTAGAAGACTTTTCAAAGTCTATATGTAATATTGAATTAATTTTGAGTAAAATATCAAATTCAGGAATATTCACATCTTACTTCTGCCAAGATTTCATTAATTGGATGTGTTACGAAGTCTACACCCTCCATTTATTGTTGACCAACTTGATGGGATATTCTAGAGATTACCATTAGGAAATTCATGCAAAATACTTTGAAAACACAAAATCACTAATGCAATATATTATTTTCAAAACTTACTTTCACACTTCCATTTATTTCCTATTGAATTTCTAAAGAAAGAAAAAAATAATGGAATCTGGTGCAACCATCTTTATGGAGCAGGAACACCAAAAAAGAATCAGTTTCTGCAGAAAAAAAAAATCCATTTCTAGCTGTATGGAGAACTACTACTAGTTTGAAGTTAGGAAAAAGTGATGTTGTTGCCCTTCTGAAATTTTGAATTTCAACTCCCATCAGCTCCCTGATGATAGCTATCAGGTTGTGTCCATCCAATCAGTGCATTTCCTGGTTAAGATTTCATAATTGTCAAGGAAATGTTTCAGCCCCAATTGGACCATACAAAGAAAATTCTTTATTTAGATGAGCTACAATAACAGAATTTAATAAGTGGATTCAAGTAATCAAATACAGTACCTTCACATTCTTGGTCCTTCTTTATCGTTATCTATAATTACAGCTCTTTCTACAGCTGTTCTGATGCTCAGTGGGAAAAGGTATCAGAGTGATACATGCACAATCAGTGAAAAAAGGTCTACAATTTGAAAGTCATGCTCAAAGAAGAAAATAGGAAAGGGGAGGGACAAGGGATACCATCTATACTATTGTATAATAACCGTGTTCCACATGACAGGTGGTTTTGATAGTTATTGAACAATTGCAAGCTTTCAAATTCAAAGCAAAATTCAGGAAAACTGGTTTGGATCCTTTATGTTAGATAAGAAACCTTAAGACCTACAAAGCTAAAGAGAGTTTGATTCACACATTAAAAAAAAGGGGAAACAATAATTTCTTTGCTTTGTCTTCCTAGCAATTTTAAAGGATCCTTTTTGCAACTTTGCATCTCTCGGCACCAATTAAGATCTCCATATGCACATTTGGGGGCTCTCCATCATGTCCCTTGAGATATTTATTTATTTTGATTTGTCAATCGCTTACAAGATAATAGGTATAAGTATATACATAGTTTTGAATACATGAAATGGGTATATATAAGAAAAATAAAAGAAATAATAGGACAGGGACTGTAGGCACGTTGGTGCGCTTATGCACGCCCCCTACAGACCTCTTAGGAAAGGGGTGAGGTCAATAGTAGACAGTCTAAGGTTAAAGTTTTGGGGTTTGGGGAAGAAACCACAGAGTCAGATGGAGTATTCCAAACATTGACCACTTTGTTGGTGAAGTCGTATTTTCTGCAGTCAAGTTTGGTGCGGTTAACCTTGAGTTTGTATCTATTGTGTACTTTTGTATTGTTATGATTGAAGCTGAAGTATTCATTTGCAGGTAGGACATTGCAATGCATGGTTTTATATACTATACTTAGATCGGACCAAAGGCGGCATAGTTCTAGATTTTCTAGGTCTAGAATTTCAAATCTGGTATATAATCTGGTATACACTCTCAACACTCTCTCTTCCACTCCACCCATTTTGTCTGAGGAAATTTTTTTGAATACTTGGAGGAAAGCTTACATCTATTTTGTAAAATGTTAATACCGATTTGGATTCCTCTCCTCTCCTTCCATCTATATATCCTATCCATCTATGTATCCCATCCATCCATCCATCGCAGGGGGTCTTCAAACTTGACCGCTTTAAGACTTGTGGACTTCAACTCCCAGAATTCTTCCTCCAGTCATGTTGGCTCAGGAATTCTGGGAGTTGAAGTCCACAAGTCTTAAACTTGCCAGTTTGAAGACCCTTGATCTATCGCCTCCATAGAGCACTTCCTATTTCTCACCCCTTTTTCGATAGCCCCGCCCCTCGCAGCAGCACCACCACCCCAGTCCCGCTGTTCTAAGAGGGTCGCGCGCTCAACTGCCAAACTGTCTCACCCGCTCCCAGAGCTGCTGGGCGAAGGCGCGCGCGGTGGGCTCGGTCACCCGTAGCGTCTCGGTCTCCTCTAAGCGAGAGAGCAAATCCTCCGGAGTCCGACTCCGCTGGGCCAGGCCCACCATGAAAGCAACGACATGGCGCTCGCTCAGCCCCAGAAGGCTATGGAGCTGGTTCGATACCCAGCGCTCCAACTCGCCCGCCATTGTAGCGGGATGCTGAACCCCCAATTCTCCTATCCCACCCCCAGCTTTTCGAAATGCGTGATAGTATTTCCGGGCTCGTGCTGCTGGGAGCCAATCAGCAAGCTGAGAAAGGCGAAACTTTCGTCATCTTAAAGCGACGTTAAAAAAAAAAAAGTAGGATTACATACGTTGCTCTCGAATTTGTCAGTCTCTGAAATGGAAATATGGGAGTTGAAGTCCAGTACTCCCGAGAGGCAGCCAGTTAAAACGCTCTAATGTAAACAGTGCTTTTTAACAACCCTCGTCAGGCTGCAATTCCCATCATCCCCAATCAGTATGAAAAACAATATGTATGAATCATATTATATAATATTATAATATAATATCAGTATGAAAAACTATATGAATCATATTATATAATATTATATTATATAATCAGTATGAAAAACAATCTATGAAAAACAATCAGTATGAAAACAATAGATACAAACTCAAGGTTAACCGCACCAAACTTGATTGCAGGAAATACGACTTCAGCAATAGAGTAGTCAATGTCTGGAATACTCTACCTGACTCTGTGGTTTCTTCCCCAAACCCCAAAAACTTTAACCTTAGTCTGTCTACTATTGACCTCACCCCTTTCCTAAGAGGTCTGTAGAGGTCTTCATAAGCGCACCAATCATGCCTACCGTCCCTGTCCTATTGTTTCTTTTTTTTCTTATATGTATTCATGTATTCATAACTATGTTTTTACTTATACCTATTATCTTGTAAGCAATTGACAAACCAAATAAAATAAAATAAATAAATACATAAAAATGGCCAAAGATGATAGGTCGCTACATTACACAGCCTACCAACACAAAAGCTTGAACATGTTATGGCTATTTCTCATAGCTGTGTAATCTGCAGTTTATTCTGCTCTTCCACATTTGTGTGTGTGTGTGTGTGTGTGTGTGTGTGTGTGTGTGTGTGTGTGAACCAGCTGCTCTATTTCTAGCGGTATGTGCCAAAAACCATTTTCTGATGAAGAAAGATCATAAGGGAAATCATACGTAATTCCATTCAAGAGCACGTTTTGAAATCAGGGATTTTGCTTCCAGAATACAGTATACCTATCAGCTTTACACATTTTCTGTGTTTTAGACTGCAGTGCATGGAGAATGAAGAAGAGCCAATTTATTTAAATCATTAGTCATCACAGTCTTTCAATGTTGTACTACTTGCTCTTTAATCTCCCCTTCTTTATTTTAGAACTTCACTTGTGTTCCCTCAGACTGGATCCCCCTAAAATGAGGATATTCTTTTTCCTGAGAAGCACCTAATCCATATGTTGGATGTCAAGAAGTTTCAATCTTTCCCCGATTAAGTATAATAAAACTAAAGAAGTTATAGTGAGATCATTTGTTGTATGCTTTTATTTGTTGCAATAATCTAACGTAAGGATTATTTGATTATATCCAGGGTTGTGGGAGCGCCATCACTTGAGACTTTCAAGAAGAGATTGGACTCCCATCTGTCAGAAGTGGTGTAAGGTCTCCTACTTGGGCAGGGGGTTGGACTAGATGACCTACAAAGTCCCTTCCAACTCTGATTATCTGTTATCTGAGGGATAGAGGAACCTGTCATGTGAATTATTTTGGTCGTGAAGAGGAGAACTGCATGCATTTATGTCTGCTTCTAGGCAAGCTTCACTGATTGCCAGTTTGCTTCTGGGTTCAGTTGAAGGTGCTGGTTTTAACTCTCAAAGCCCTATATGGAATGGGGCCAAGTTATTTGAGAGACCACCTTTCCCTGGTTATCTCAACAACTCCAGCATATGGATAACATATGCTAAGGATTTTCATCTCATGGCACCTGCCCTCTGGAACACCATTCTCCTTAATGTGAGATTAGCCCCAACTCTATTAATCTTGCAGGTGTCTCTTAAAATATGTTCCCCCCCTAATCTTGGGGATCCCATAGAAACAGGGAACCTGCAAGATGGTTATACTGAATATAGGATATTGATCCATTCTTCCTCTCTTATTTATAAGTATGTTTTATGGTTTTAATGGTTGTTTAGACTTTTTAACTCTTTGTTCCATTATACACTGCCCAGGCAGGGTCACATTAATGAGATGAATGCTATATAAATTCATTAAATAAATAAAGGTAAGAATTAAATGTTTTGCTGGAACACACCAAAGTCTAGCTGGTCCAGCATTTTGTTTACAAAGTGCATAGGATATAACAGATATATGTGATCAGCAGACCACAAAGAAACATCTTCTTATTGTCATTTCTTTTAAGATTCAAGATGGCTATTTTAAGGAAAAGTTCTATGTAACTGTCATGATGAATAGAGCAATAAAGACCACTAGATTATCGTGCAACATCATTCTGGTTTATTGTTAATAATAATTACACGTATCAAAAAAAAAAACACTGATGGAAATGGCTGGACACAGCTTCTTCAGCCCTCATTTAACATACATTGATCATTGCAGACCCCATCACACACCTGTCAAAGAAAAATATGTCTGTAGTATTCAGTCAGTCACTCACTCACTTATTCATGGGCTTTACGTTGGCTGTCCCGGCAGTGCAAAATAAAAGGAGAAATGATAATTAAAAAGGGTGCACAGATAGATAAATTAGTAATGAAGGGAGAGAGAAGATATGTAATTTTCTCTTCTGCGCCTTCCATTCAAACTTTTACTTCTTCGCTCAACAATTTTTGTTCCTAAGCCTCACCTTTCTCCTCCCATACATTCATCAACTTTCTCTCAATCTGCATTCTTGTTCCATTGATGAGTTGTGCCATTCTTTTGAGTAATTTAATTGAGCAAGTCAACCAAGCTTCACAGTTGGGGAAGAGAAGATTCCTGTTCCGCAATTTAGAAAAAGTTTCAATTTTATTTGGACACTTCCATCTTAAGGTCAGACTTTCAGCCAGGGTAGTTACAGAAATTGAATTGTATACTTTTGGTTCCAAAATGTGGATTTATGAACTATTACAGCCCTGAGACAGGACCTGGGTTGTGGAGTGGGTGGAGGGCTTGGAGGGCCTCACTGGCTCTCAGCTTCCCTGAGTCAACCCACCTCCTCATTTTTTTATTACCAGCACTACAAATGATTTGCCCCCTGCCTCACGGCCCAAGGTGGAAGGTCATCCTGAGAGACCCAAAAGCTATATAGCTCTTTCTTCTTCTCATCAAAAATGAACGCGTCTTTATCCAGGTGTGCAAGCTGAGCGGTAGTGCTCAGATGTTCAGGTGGTGCATAGAAGTAGCCTGGTAAACATCTTCAAACAAATGTACCATGGTTTTGCTTTCCTTAACGTTAACTAAGTTAAGACTTTATCCTAGTTAAAAAATACTATGCAGTGCAGAATGGCAAATACAGGTTGTCCTCGACTTACAACCATGATAGGGAGAGCAAGATTCATCATTAAGCAATGAGGTCATTAAGTGAATCATCCATGGCTATTAAGCAAGACAGCAGGTGCTTGCAACCTCCTGCTGGCTTTTCCATGGATTGCTGGAATCTGGATGAGAAGATCACAAATGGCAGCCACCTGACTGAAACATCGTTAAGTGTGAGCTGGTTGAAAAGTGCCTAGATCACAATCATATGACCATGGGAACACTGCCACGGTCTTAAGGATGAGGACCAGCCATAAGTCACTTTTTTCAGCACCATCATAACTTTGAATGATTGCTAAACAAATGGTCATTAAGCGGACTACCTATATTTCTCAAAATGGATGGTAGAATAATATTACTAGTATTATTGCTACTAGTAATAATACTTTTTTGGCTAAAGAATCCAAAGTCATCTGGGGTGGAGGGGGAGGAAGGTCAATTTGGCAGCCACAGTTGTCCAACTGAAGGGACAGTCCTTCGAGTGTGGTGTTGTGGACACCATCCAGACCTTTTGTACCCTTCTCCTGTGGCCAACCCTGAAAGCATCGCTTCATTTTTTTTTTTAACCATTCATGGCTCTGTTCACTTCACTTCATGCCCACTCATCTAAGTCTATATGAGTTGTGAATTCTAAACATGAAATGGATACTATTAAAACCAGAAGTGGAACTTTTTCTCCTGATTCTGCTTTGTTTGTCCATTCCCTCCCCCCCCCCCCCCTTGTTCCGCTTACTTACTTTAGCCTGGCAGTCCCACAGGACCACCCCAGCCTGAAGTCAAAGAGAGAGAAAACACAAAATGCCACCACAAAGAACAACTGTCTCTGCACCCATGCAGAGATATCCTTTCCCTAATTGCTCAATTCCATGCCTTACTAAGTGCTCTTGTTTTAAAACACAGAGAGGCCCGTCCCCGTTGCCCAGTTACATGCCATATTACTCACACCTAGAGTCATGCTAATGTTGAATTGACTTCCTCTTCAATGGCCCCCCTCCCATCCCCGAATACTGATAAGCAGTGTGTAACCTTCCCTGGTCTCCCCCTGAAATATGGTGCTTGTTTTCCTTTAAACATCATAACAAGACAAGATACTTTACAAAATAAAAAAAAGCAGAAAAACAACAACAACCAGACAAAGTTACATCAATGTCCTTCAGCCCAGAGCTGAAGCTTTCAAATGCTGTGTGGTTCATGGTAAGGAGTAAAATAGGTCAATGATGTTAGCCCTTGGTGTTTGAAGGTTCGACGGCCTTTCCTCAAGGAAAGTTTTAGGCTCCTCACTGACTGACAGGAGCGGCAGGAAAAGCATTGGTTAAGATTCCCATCTAGATTGGACTGCATTTCGCACAATTTGGAGCCATCTAGATGTGTGGGATACTTTTTCCTAAGCAAAGAGGTTCCGTTTTCAGGGTCCAACACAAAGAGAAGAGCCACATCAAGTGTGAAGATGCTGCGTAACTCCTGAAGGAAGGAACCTACGGCCTTCAAAGCTGTAGGACAAGGCTGATAGGTCTTTATTGGTTCCTGTTTCTTTTGCCTTGGCGTGTCAGTCATTGGAAGACAAAAAGAGATTCAAGGTCCAGCCGAAGGATTTTAGAACACGGCTTGAAGTCTTGAAATGGATTCTACCTTTTCCTGCACCAGGAAAGAAAGACAAATAAGCTATCGCCGACAGGACTCATCTAGAAAAAGGAAAAGAAAGAATACCAACATAGTTAGCCAAAGAGGAAAACAACAACTCCTGAGTTTGCATTCCCCATTTCTGCACTTGTTAAAAAGGCCTTTAGATGGCACTTCAGTATTATCTCTAAGGTTCTTTCTATTCTTCCGGCTATGGTATTTCTGGTTTTACAAGTATCTCCTCTATTTATAATGGTACAGAGGGTTTTTTTGGAGGGAGTGAGGGAGGTCTGGATGAAAATTAGGGTTTCATCTGATCTCAATTACAAATACTTGTAGTCTGCTGATATTTTTTAAAAACACACGTTGCCCTCTTTTTGTTGCTACTGCTGGATATAGTTCTAGACCTCAGAATCATCACACTGATATTCAAGGACAATCTTTCTTCAGGGTTGTCGAAAGCTCTGGAAATAGATCATATTATTCCTGAACCAAATCTTGAATTCAGCTAAGTGAATGTGCTCTTTCGATCAGCAGAGGCTGTTATTTGTGAACCTTTCCAGCTCTAACATACTTGAAAATTCCCGCTATGTGAAGATAAGCAGAGAATTTTTAACCTAGGGAAGCTTTCAAAGTACTACATACAACATCTGCTATTGCAAGTCGAACAACAGACAGATATGTAAAAACTCCTCAATCTCTATACGGTGGCAATTGTCTACAAGACCTCTTTCCAATAAACATAACAGGTTGGCAGCCCAGTTTACCCCAACTTGCAAGTTACAATTCAAAACCCAGAAAAAAAGAGGTAGAATCTGTGTCAAGAGTGATTGTAGAAAGGTCTTTGTAATCCAAGCATTTCCATGGGTATCCCAGATACTCACCTACAATAAGTGGTTTGCTCCTGAGCAGGCCAGGGAGGCCACGATGAAGCAGCAGCAACTCCTCTTCTTCTTCTTCCTCATCACCAAGGGGGTTTGTGCTAACCAAAGACTCTGACTCTTCTGGGGGCCCAAACTCCTCCAGTAGCGAACTCTCTGATGGGTATTGGAAGGTCCTCTCCAGCTGATTCTCACTGAATGAAATCTTAAGCTGCAGGTAGGAAGAGAAAGAGGGAGATATGGATGGATGGGTGGATAATATTACAAGTCTACAGTTATAGTCACCCCATTGATTTCTGGCTATGCCAGATTATGCCTCGGCCCATCTCAAACGTGGTGGGCATGGCTTGGCTTGGTGGGCGTGGCAGGGGAAGGATACTGCTAAATCCCCATTCCCTCCCCACCCCACTAACCTGCTTTCCAGCTCCATTCTTCTGTGAAGAGCAACAAAAGAAGACCCAGCCAATCAGCTGGGACTTGGGAGGCAGAGAATAGATGGGGCGGGGCCAGTCAGAGGTGGTATTTGCCGGTTTTCCGAACTACTGAAAATTTCCACTACTGGTTCTCCAGAACTGGTCAGAACCTGCTGAATACCACCTCTGCATAACTTTGTCGTTTACTTTTTGAAGGGAGGTTATAGTATACTTCAGTGAGACTCCAGGGGTTAAATCTCTAAGGAGGCGAAAGATGCCTTATAAGAAAACAAAGGCTTAATGAGTTTGAATTGCACTTATGGTACAGTAGCTACATTTAGAGCCATAGGAGAATTACATATTAAGAGTCCAGGATGGGATCATGGTAGTAGTAGTAGTACAGCGCGTCTGGAAAGCCCAGTAAGATTAAAGGAAAGTGTGTAATTGAGTGTATATGGCCTCTGGAGAACTAAATTAAGGGAAAGGATGCAAGCAAGACATCCAATTCAGAGGTGGCATTCAGCAGGTTCTGACCAGTTCTGGAGAACCGGTAGCTGGAATTTTGAGTAGTTCGGAGAACCGGCAAATACCGCCTCTGACTGGCTCCGCCCCCATCTCTTCTCTGCCTCCCGAGTCCCAGCTGATTGGCTGGGTCTTCTTTTGTTGCCCTGCACAGGAGAACGGAGCTGGAAAGCAGGTTAGTGGGGTGGGGAGGGAGTGGGGATTTTGCAGTATCCTTCCCCTGCCATGCCACGACCACAAAACCGGTAGTAAAAAAAAATTGAATCCCACCACCGATCCAATTATGTCTATCTTGCAACAAAACACTCTTATCAAAAACGGAGAATATTTGTAGTTCAGAGTTGAAATGAGGAGTCCTTAGTGCTCTCTGAGCTTTGGTTGTTTTCTTGCAGATGTTTCATTATCCAAACTAGATAGTATCATAAGTGCTAGCATTGATGATGCTACCCTAGTAACAAAATGTCTGCAAAAAAACAGCCAAGCTCAGAGAACACCAAAGACCCCTCAAAGCCCTCTTACGTCCTGGTTTTTGAGCTCTTCTCATCCTGAAAAGCTTTACTGTAATTTGCTTGGGTTAAAAAGCATAAATACTAATATATATGTAAAAAAAAGTTGAAGGACTTCAAGCAAAAAGAGCTGCAGTGTCCTGGGATATGTAAATCAAAAGGTTGCAAACTTTTAGCTAATAAATCTTTCTTCCCTGGCTTCCTAGGATGTCTCCTCACCATCCCAGGTCACACACTACACCCATTTTCCAGCCGATACAGAGTACAAAATAGAGCAGGAGATAATCTTTCAGAAAATAGTATTAAATTGCCCCATAGGCACTCCTGTAGCAAGAGGGTATCTCTTGTGTGAGAGAAGAGCTTATGGATTGGAGATTTTTAAGAAGAAAGGCAACCTCTCAGGGATGGTTTAATTTATTTTCATGCCCTCTACGCAGAATTAGACTAGATCAGTGATGGCGAACCTTTTTGTTTGTGGTGTGCCGAACGCGTGCGTGTGAGAGAGAGCATGCCGCCACCCACAATGCAATGCGTCCCGCCCCCCTGCACGGGCGTGCACAACACCCCTACCCTGCCCCCTTACTTGCACTGCACATGCACGTGCCTCCCAGCTGATTTTTGGCCTCTTTGAGGCTGTTTTTACCCTCCCGAGGCTTGAGGGAAGCCTCGGGAGCCTCGGGAGGCCGAAAAACGGGCCTCCCGGAAATACCAGAAATGCCCATTTTCAGCCTCCGGTGGCCCTCTGGAACTCGGGGGAGGCTGAAAACGGGCCCATTTCAGCACTTCTGGTATTTATGGAAGGTCCATTTTTCGGCCTCCCGAGGCTGCAGAGGCTTCCCTCGAGCCTCAGGAGGGTGAAGACAGCCTCAAACGGACTGAAAATCAGCCGGGAGGCGCACGCATGCGCAGTGCAGGTAAGTTTGGCTGGGGCTCACGTACCCACACAAATGGCTCTGCTTGCCACCTGTGGCACACGTGCCATAGGTTCGCCACCAGGGGACTAGATGATCCTTGTGGTTCCTTTCATCACCTTTTTTCAATTCTATGACCTTAGAATTAGGTGTGCTTTTTATCACCCACCAGCTTAATATGCAAGAAAGCCCACCAGTCAAAAATAACAAGAGGAAGAAGAGAGGACGTACCCCATGAGAATTTCTCAAAGTCATAAGGAATGAGATGGTATATACATTTAATAAACAAATAGTCAAGATGAGCAGATAGGTTGTCTTAACTGATCTCAAGCTAGCCTCCCCCTGCCCGATAATCCTCATTTGGGGTACACATCAATATGTGTACAAGTAGTGTGCGCCACATAGCAAAACCACCTGCAAAAGCCAGTTTGGTGTAATGGGGTTAAGGGGCTGGCTTGAAACAAGGAGACACCGAGTTCTAGTCCTGTTTTAGGCATGAAAGCCAGCTCTGTCACCCTGGGTCAGTCTATCTCTCAGCCCAAACCACTCACAGGAATGTTGTTGTGGGAAAAATAGGAAGAGGAAAGTGTATTAGGCAAACTTGTCGCCTTGGGTTATTTATTAAAAATAATAAAGGAGGTATAAACATCAAATACATGAGTAAAAACACGAAGTTACTCTATCAAGGGAGCTTACAATGTTAAGTAAATGCATAGTGGGAAGGGGAGAGAGAGAGAGAGATCAGGGTGGCAAATTGAAAGTTACACCTTCAAATTCTGGGCCAGCTGCCTGATGCTTAGTCAGTCAATTGGTCCATCTAGCTCCCCCTCTTGTAGACCTGTTCTTGAAGCTTCTACAGAGTTTCCCAGATGCTCCTGAAGATTCAGCTTCTCTTTAAAGCTTTCTGACTTAAATCTCAGGAGACACAGCTTAATGGGTGCACTCTGTAATAAGCATGCAACCGATTGCAGAATTGATCTTATTTAGGATAAAAGCTATCTAACAGGATGGAAAGTCTGGGTCATAGGGCTTGCCCTGGCCTCGGAGATCAAGGGGCAGTTGAGAAGAACCTACTTGGATGCTAACAGCTTATGGAGCAGGGCATTCAGAAACACTGAAGTAACAAAGAATGACTGTGAGCATGTACAGCAGACATTTCCTGCGTCCCATGAATGCTTTTAATGAATGAGGGTTTGTACTGATAGCAGATTCCATCTTGAGCTCCATTTGTTCTTATCCATGGGATAACTTTTTGTCTAACAAATCATTGTGGCCCTGGGGTTTTTATAGACCCGGAAGAATCTTCTACCACAATACTTCACTGTAGCAAATGAATGAAACAATCTGAAAGAGATTACCAACTATATTAAGACAGCTGAGGTAAGTGCTTAAACTAGACTGTGGCTTCTTAGTAAGATAAAAACTCAGCAACATGAAGAGGTGGGTGTCAGAAAAATATATATGGAAGAAAATGTTTTGCCCTACAAATCTAATCCCATGAAGGCAAGCATAAGAGGCAATCTGCTAGGTCTAACGGAAGATCCTAGATACAGATAATCAGAGTTGGAAGGGACCTTGTAGGTCATCTAGTCCAACCCCCCGCCCAAGCGGGAGACCCTACACTATTTCTGACAAATGGCAATACAATCTCTTCTTGAAAGTCTCAAGTGATGGCGCTCCCACAACTTCCGAGGGCAAGCTGTTCCATTGGTTGATTGTTCTCACTGTCAGAAAGTTTCTCCTTGTTTCCAGGTTAAATCTCTCCTTGTTCAGTTTCCATCCATTATTCCTTGTCTGGCCTTCAGGGGCTTTAGAAAATAGCTTGACCCCTTCCTCCCTGTGGCAGCCCCTCAAATATTGGAAGACCGCTATCATGTCTCCCCTGGTCCTTCTTTTTACTAGACTAGCCAAGCCCAGTTCCTGCAACCGTTCGTTGTATGTTTTAGCCTCCAGTCCCCTAATCCATCCTGGTTGGTCTTCTCTGTACTTCTTCTAGAGTCTCAACATCTTTTTTATAGTGTGGTGACCAAAACTGGATGCGGTACTCTAGGTGTGGTCTTACTAAGGCTTTATAGAGTGGTATTAGTACCTCACTTGGTCTCGATTGTATCCCTCTGTTAATACAACTTAGGATTGCTGTTTTTCACCTCTTATGAAAGATGGGCATGAAGATAACAATCTTGTCGGGTTTGCTCCAATATCACTTGCAAAATTGAAAGAAGGTGGGGAAAGTCTCAATCTATGCATCCTTCCCCCAACTCAAGATATATGGAGGACAACTTCCAGAATTCTCAGCCTATGTGGCCACAGACCCTGAATTTGAAATACATCTGTTGGCACCACTTGCCACCCAGGGTTGGTATAAGAAAAGGCACAAAGAAAAACGCAAAGAAAAAGACATGAACAAGAAACACCAAGCACCTCATTTATATCACTTTGAAAAATGTACTCTATAAATGATTCATAGCACAGGTGGAGGTTTGCAAACTCAGAAAGCCTATTTTTAATCGGTAAGCTGGCAGGGCTTCACCAAGCCTGCCCAAGAAAGGTGAGGTCTTATCTCCACGCTTCTCTTTCCTGGACTGTCCTTGATTTACAACCATTTGTTTAATTACCATTTGACATTACAACAGCAGTAAAAAATTGACTGCTTTTCACACTACCGTTGTAGTGTGTCCCCATGATCAGAGGTGGTATTCAGCAGGTTCTGACCAGTTCCAGAGAACCGGTAGCGGAAATTTTGAGTAGTTCAGAGAACCGGCAAATCCCACCTCTGTCTGGCCCCGCCAACCCCATCTATTCTCTGCCTTCTGAATCCCAGCTAATTGGCTGGATTTCCTTTTGTTGCCCTGCACAGGA